CGACGCTATTTCTTTGCGTACGCAAAGATTTTGCGCAGGCGATTTTAAAACTTAGCATTGCCATGAACGAACTGACATCAGACCATAAATTTTTCGCTCCTGCCATTTTCCTCCTTGTCATGATAAGCCGCTTTGCTGCCAATGACTCCGCAAGAAAACAGACATAACTAGATCTTCCTCTTTAATGAGCGATCCATGTCTGACAACAGGTGCTAAACCAACGAATGACAGGTCCTGCATAATACGGTCGCATGATGCACGCGTGACTCACGCTTCAACCGTTCTTCAAAACCCGTAGCCCGCGACTAGGGGGAGACAAGCTCCTGCGATACATTTCACAATCATCGTCCGATACCGCTGTAGATACTTGCACGCCCGTACCGGTCTAAACGCCTGCTTGTCTATGGCTCGCACCTAAGAAGTTACATATGGCCGTGGATAACCGAGCACTCAGAAGTTGCCTTTCAATGTAAGCGACGCTCCACCCTTTCCGTGTAGGTGTAGCTTTAAGACGATGTAAGGCTATAAAGGTGCCAGCCACGAGGCAGTGTTTATACCGGTAGAGGCGCAACTTTACAGATTACTGCGCTGTGTACCCATATAGAAATGTACTACAATCCACTCTCAGTGCCCATCAATGATGGCCCAAACTTCAACCAACGACCTGTGCTGATGAACATCAACAGCAAAGCGCGACATTTTTAAAAATCGCACGACAAAGGACGTCCTGTACACCGTGACACGACGCACTCCTGAAACATATTTCTTGTCGCGAACGGTAAGCTTAACGCGGCATGATTTGCATGGAATAACATCAGTGTGAATACCCAGATACCCTTATAACGTCATATAGTATAACGTTTTCACACATCTATAGGACCACATGAACGAGTGGTGTCGTTGACTAGATTTTGTATATTTGTTTCCCTTCCAGGTGAGAGACCAATCAACTTCCCAGTTTCGTTTTGTGATCCTATAATTGTGGACACTTTGAATGAACACCGTAGTCGCCAACGCTGCAGGATAGGCTCGTCAAGAGAGGGGTTTGCGGATACAAAAAATATATCGGTTCATTTTAAGAAAATAAACAAATGCCATACCCCGAAGAGTCCGTAACAGCACCGCGGATGTCAACAAGAGATACGTAGTCTCTGAAAATTTTAATTTTGATAAGACTATCTCTGGTACACTTCCATTGGAGTATTTGCTCGAAACATACTTTCGAGATTTCAATATCAAAAGCGGGCAATTTCTATATTTGTTCTTTCTTGAGGCGAGCAATCACTGGCGCAGAATGACTCAGCAGATTGATGAGCATCAGAGCCACTATAGAACAGAGTAGCACTCTCACTTTTGGAAGCCCGAGTTTGGCGAAACGCCGAGGGACGACCTAGAACCGCGCACATGCCGCTAGAACCCCACTTTCAGTCGCAGCATCCAGACTCGGGCTTCTGCAAAATCTTTCGTTCTCGTGTACCACCGCCACCTCGCAAAAGAGCCTACATTGGCGACCTTCATTTATTATTGCTAATCCTATAGTTGCATCACACACGTCTCCGATATGCCATTGTACATCCCATCCCCACTCCCTGGCGAATAAATACCCGTGCCGTCTCGCACGGCAGCAACACGTTCCCACCGTCAGGCTAAAGGTAGTTCATGAGAGGCGTCATCTCAGGTTCGTCCCTGGGCGACTCCCTAAACTCGAAGCGGTAGTTGGTACCGCCGTTGTTATCCCAAAACTCGCGATCCCCGACGACGTACCGCACACACATCTGGACCATGGGCCGAGCGCAGTTCTCGGACAGGTACAGGTCAGCGCCGAACCTGTCCGAAAGCCCGTCTGACGAACCAGGCAGGTAGACGGCTCGGAGGTCGCAGAAGGAACGCCACTGGTCGAGCGAGTAGCGCAGAATCACCAACTTTTCGAAGGCAACGTTGAGGACGCGGATGACGGCGTGTATGGCGCAGCCCGTCACGACGACGGACTCCAGACAGACCTTCTGGGCCGTCAGTCGCGTTAAAAACTCCGAGCTGGCCCCAGGCTGGGCGAACAAGGGCGCTAGCACCAGCGAAGGACCCGATGTCCGCGGAGGTGAGACCTGACGTTCGAGGTCGAGGTGAGAGAAGGCGGATGCAGGGATGTTGGGTACGTCGCCGGAGACGATGGTCCGCACCGCTGCGAGGTCCAGTCCCATGGCATCCGCGAACCGGACGATTTTTTTCTTGTACGGTGTTCCCGGTGGACTCTTGCCGGTTTTGAGGGAGGTGCTGCGGAGTAGACGGCCACGGCTCGCGCTGTCCTCGTCGTCACTCTCCTCTCGGGACCGCGGTGTGCTGGATGAAGATGGTGACGTGTCCACTGAAGACGGGACGTCGTTAGCAGACGATGAAAAGGAACTTGGCGATCCGTCAGCGGGGTATGGTTCTAGCGCAACTGCTTGTAGTGCCGCAGGTGGACCTTCTGCGTTACGCTGTTTCAGAGGAGCCGCCTCTTGGAAGCGATGCTTGGCGAATCGCTTAGACCTTGGACGCTTGTTATCCGGTTCGGCGCTGCTTGGTCCTTCAGTCGACTCAGCGATGCCCGTTCCGACCGAAGAATCTGACCTGTCGACAGCAGACACAACAGCGCCTGTGGCGATGACCTCGGCAGAAGCATCTGCGGCAACGTCTGTGGCGGCGACTTCGGCTCCAGTATCTGTAGGGGAGCCGTCGTCCCGAAACTCTTCAGCAAGCCCATCAGTCACATCCTGGAAGGCCTCCTCGACTAAATCCGCGGAAGAGTTCCCATTTTTTAGCAGCACCGACGCACCACCGGGGCGCACCAGACCTTGAACGATGGGAAAGGGAAACGAGTCGTCAGGCAGCGAATGATGCTGTGACAAGGCTGCTCGGACCACTTCACGCTCCGGTGGGTAGCTCGCAGGCAGATCGTCGGAGGGCAACGAGACCTCGACACTGGAAAGGCTGGCAACGGCCGGCGGCGCTGAAACTCGGCCGTCGACACCAATCTCCGCGGAACTGTCGGAATCACCCAAGTCTAGCGAAGACGTCGACGACGGTTCGTCGACGCTCTCTTCGCCGCTCTGGACGACACAGTCGACGCTCTCGTCCTGCAGCAGCGAGTAGAGTCGCTCGTACAGTGCCCTGCCCGTCCGTACCAGGAAGTTGGCCGACGTGTCTGTGGGCTCGACATCGTCCGAGCCCTCTTGTGTCCCGTGGGGCTCCCAGGGGCCCGTCCCGTTTCCCACGAGCAGGGCGGACTGGGATCCCTGCGGGGTTGTCGTCGCCGGGGCGAGTTGTCGGACCGGCGGGCACTGGACCACACTGGGCCGCTCGTCCATGGGCGGGAAGAAAGGTCTGCAGTACACCTGCCTGGCGAGGGACTCTGCCCGCAGCCTACAGCTAGCAAGTCCGATAGCACACGACGACTGCCATTCGCTCATAGTAGAGACGCGAGGCGCTGGTGAGGAGGGATTGCTAAAGATAGCAGCGGCCGGGAGACGACGCCATTGCGGCACCGACCTTTGAGCGACCTTCGCCGGCGAGCCCCTGCCGGCGTCGGCACCGCCGCTGGCCGACGGCCGCCGCCATGAGGCTCTGTTGTTGTCGCTTGACGCGAGCTTCGTCCTCCTCTTCGTTCGCTCGGCGGCGAAGCCCCGGGGCCCCGCGTTTTGCCGCTCTCACACGTCCTGCGACGGTCGGACGACGTCGCTGGCACAGGGCCAGGGAGGCGGCGCTGCCGGGCGCTCGCGCCGGCGCTACGTCCGCCCACACTCAGGCGCCATCTTGAGTGGGACAGCGGGCACGGGATTCGGCGGGGCCGCCGCCAGGGTTCGGCCTCCGTTTATCGATCCGCGATGCCGGCGGCTCTGTTTTTCGGGGACACCCGCCTTTTTTTGCGAGGACCGACCAAAGGATGAGACGAGCGGGAGGCGTTGCATCACCGGGACGACCTTGACCCTTGGTGATGACCGCTTCCTGTTGCGATGACCTTGAACAACAACAGGTGAGGCGGCCGCTTCACTAGAGCGCTAGATTCATCCAGCGCCTTAGCCCTCTTTTACCCCGCACTGGATATCGGCGCTAGATTATACACGTTTCGAGTATTTCCAAAACTCACAGTGGAGCCAGCGCTCGCTCGCAATTGCGGCCAGCCGTACAGTGCGCGTCCATGACACACAGAGCAATGAACGCGCCTCCGTGTATTGGCTTCCCGTTGCCAATACACCGAAAGGTGTATTGGCAACGGGAAGAACACTTACGAGAAGTACGATATTCCGGGTATCCCCCATGCGCTAGTGTCCTGACATATTGTGTTCAGAGATCAAGATTTTACAAATACCCAAAACGTTCCCCCCCGTGATGTCTTTTCTGTTAATTTCAGTAGGGAGCCAATAACTGGAGCAGAACTAGTGGCCAATGGACCGTTTTCGAAACCCCGTCAAGCAACACTGGTGGTCGTCACTCGCTTCCCAAGCTCAGGACCGCGCGGATAAGCAGAAACTAAGCAAAGCTCTAATACAAAAAAAAGTATCTAAATATATTGAGAACATAGTATGGAAACAGCCAGAAAGAGAATGGACGTACGAGGATTTAATGGGAATGTTTAAAAGAAAATTAGAAAAGCATCGAATTAAACAAAGAGGAAAACAAGAACGGAGACACAAACCCAAAACGCGGGTGGGATGAGGAGGTCAAAGCAGCCATATTGCAGCGCCAAGACACATCTAGGGAGCATAGGTGGGCAAAGAAAAGGGGAGCCTTGCCAGCCGAAGTAGCATCAAAATGGGAGGACTTCCAAGAGCGGAAAAGGAAGACATCAGCTGTAATACAAGCCAAAAATTGGGAGTGCAGTGGATGATGGAAATGTCGATGCTGGTGTTGCTTTACTCAAATGCCGAAGTAGAGAGGACTTTTGTCAGCTTAGCTCTGTAAGATTCAAACTGAGGAACAAGCTGAAGCCTGAAACAACAAAAGCCATCCTCGTCTTAAGAGCGCGGCTGAATTAAGCGACACAAGAAAGGTTATTCTGATAATGAACTTCTTATGGCGGTTGTAAGTGCAATCGGGACATCTGCAACACACCTATATACTACCAAGTCACCTTCCTGTATCCTCAACAAGCACCAGCCGTACTGTGGAGATGGTGTCAGACTACGACAGTGGTGACGAAGAAATCCTCGATGTGTCTGCGACCTGCGAGTCTTTTTTTTTTTCCATCAGTGTGAACATTTATAACTTTTAGCCTCATCTGTGATGAGGTTGACGACAACCGCAACACTGAAGCGTTTATAATTCTAGTTGCCCTCTTTCGAAGATACTTTTATATGTTATTTCAGCTCTCACGGCTTTGGAATCCTTTAATAATAAAAATTGATATCATACAAATTGTGTTTTTTTCCCTATGAAATAGGTCTTAGCGGGAAATTTAGCGGATACATTTTAGAATGTAGCGGAATCTGGCAGATTTTTTATTGCCTTTTAGCAGATTTTTGATGCCCAGCGTTGACAACATTGGTCGCCGATCGGCGTTGGAGCATTGTCGAAGACAGGGTGTAAGATAGACAGGTGGGGAAACGGCCCATATAGACGCTTTGCAGCAGCTGTGCATGGACGCCGCCATAACTGACCTTCAGTTTTTGCTTCCTCTTATTTCGTCTATTTCACTTCATCTTTAGTATAGCAGGTCAGGTTAATGCCACATTAGATTCAGCTGTGTCCTTTTCTAAAGCATCGGCCTTTGTAGAGGATCGCCAAGTACCGTTTTAGTTGCTCGGCATCTCGGTAAGACAAGAGAAGGTCAGCTATGGCGGCTGTAATTTGGCGCGTGTGTAAAGCGTCTATAAATTACCGCAGCGCCGTGACCGGATTGTGTACTCGTCTGCTTGCGGGTGGTTTGCGGGTACCCCCGATTTGCGACAGATGGCGCTGCGGCGAGAAGAAACAAAATTGGAATCGAATTTGCATGGAACTCTATGGGAGAGTGCGCAAAATAAACTGAGAGCACGACAGTCCTCCATTGAAAATCCACGAGAAACATTCTCCGTCAGTTTAACCGGTCGCCAGCGTTCGCCCACCTGGAGTGCGAGTTCGCGGTGCTCCACATAGATGGCGCCACAGAAAAAGAGAAAACCGAGGGGGACACAATCCGGTCGTTCATTTGGCTCTCGTTTCACCACCTGTCTATCTTACACCCTGGTCGAAGACAGAACTCTCACGCTGGGGGCGGAACTTCCACAGCAGACCTTATGTTGCAACAAACTATAGGGTCCACCCCCCCCTCCCCCCCCCCCAACCTTAGAAAAAAATACGTTTTTGTTTCCATCGCAAAAAAAGAAGAAGATGATTACGCATTTTTTGAACGCGCATTTTCCGCCAAAATGTAACACTAGTGCTCCGAACTAGATGCCAAACTTTTAGAACGAACTGTTGTCTCATTTTAAAGTTAAAAGTGGTTTTCTGAAAACGGGCTCCATTTTCCCATTGAAATTTTCAGAAATTCATTTTTTTTTTTTTTTTTTACTTTTGATTGAGGTAACGGTTAGTTCTGAAACTTTGGAATCTGGTTCAGACCACCATAGCGTTGCATTTGGGCGGAGAGTGAGCGTTCGGTAATGCGTAGTTTATTTTTGCAATAATGAAGAAAGGAAACGGTAAATTTTTATTTGGGAGGGACTGACTATTTTGTTTTCTGTCACTTCGAGTACGTGGTTGAATCACAATCGTAGCCTCCTTCCCATAGCCTACCATAGCCTCCTTCCATCTTAACCTTACTCTTCATTTTCACATTTCCACGGAAGACTCTCTGCCAATCTACAAGCAGGTATACGCTCGAGGGACAACAACGGAGGCCAAATGAGATCCCTTGCTATCTTACTGAAAACGAGTGTGGTTGCTAAACTCGTCGAACACAAAGATTCTTTGCGTTATGACGTAGCGGGGGGACTGGCCAAAAGAACGCAGCAATGCTTTCTATTCTCACAAATCCGCCGATTCGTTTAAGCGGGTTTCACATGCAGCGATTTTGGCCTTAGAACGGCGCGATTTCTGCCGTCGCGGCGCTCTGGCCAGCCGCAGCGGCTGAACTACAGTGAACGGCACGGTTTCACCAGGTTGGAAACTTTTCGCGGTGGAAGAGCGGCTGCTTCCGCGCTGGCCGCTCACAGCGCGGCGGGAAATCACGTGACCGGAGGAGAAACATTGCGGGAAAGCTGGCACATAGGACGGCGGCGTTTTCACGTTCGTGAAGCAGACGACAAGCAAAGTACGCAGGTGGCTGGTTTGAGGTTTCTTTTTCCGGCGGTTCGAGCTTCTTTGCTTCAGCAGTAGCGTCGGAACTGTTCAAGAGATTATGGAGGAGGAGGATTGCTGTCCCCTTCCTCGGAATTTGTTTTCTCAATTAATTACGCGGCCCTTTTTTTACTTTCCTCGCCTGAGTACCAACTATGGCGAGCGCGAGAGACGCTAATCGGAAGCGGCTTGTGCGAGCGCTAGTGAAAAAAAAAAAAAAAAAGAAGAAGAAGAAGAACTGAGCGACATTGACGTGTCGTTTCCGACACAGATCGTCACACCGAGTAAGACAAAATGTATCGCGCCCAGTTCAATGAACGGCTTATCAGTAAAGTGTCGAAGCGTCGGGTTCTTTAGGACGCGCAGCTCAAAGAATTTAGGAACATCTGCTTGCTGCAACTGCGCACCTGCTTGCTGCAAGCAACATTGGCCATCGCAACGACAGAAAATGCTCATGCGAAATGAAACCTCGCGATCCTTGACGCCGCGCCGCTAGCGGCAGCGATTTCGGCCGATGAATCGCTGCATGTGTTCGTGGCGTTTTTCGTTAAAGGGGCGCAAAATCCCTGGTATTCCGTAGGCACCGTACAAGAGCAGCACGCGAGAGCGCGCGGAAACGACCGTGGTTCACACGTGTGACGTCACGAGAAAGATTATCTGCTGCGACCAACATGTTTCATGGTCTCTAAAAAGCACGGCAAAGGCTTGGGGTAATTGCCTTCTAAAATAAACACAGTCGAAGTTGACAGTTTGATATCGTTCTTATTTCCGCCCATAAAGTAGGATTTACTGAAAAACGTCCCTGCCGTTCATTTTCTTTCTCTTGGCCTTTTGGATAGGAAGTGTAGCGCTACGTGGCTAGGTCAGAACCAGCCGAGTAGCGGTCTCCGCCTATGGACGGATTTCGCCTCCGAGGAGCAGTTGTCCCCCCGTTGGTGGGATGGAATAAACTTTGTTGAATTCTGAGCAGACAAAAGCTTCCGGTCGTCCCCCCCAGGTGAGTGGCTTCCTCTGTCCAGGATGCCATGGTCGAGCGCTGCCAGTATGCAAGGCTGTTCACCAGTCGGGACTGGGCTTGAGCTGGCTAGCTGGTCCTCCCTCTGCTCCGCGGTCGGTTGGGGAATAGGGGGTGTGGAAGTAAAACCATTTTACTGCTTTTTTCAAGTACTGAATATTGGTTGCGTAGGTTATCATGAACGTCGGTATGGTCGGCTTTCCAAGATTAGCCAAACTGGGATTAATTCTGTTTTCATCGACGGAATTAAGAGTAATGGTTCACACAGAAAGAATAAAGCACTGTAATAAACGAAGGACAGACATAGTTATTTCTGTTTTGTTTTTAAGAAGTGCGAGTGTCTGTCCTTTATCAATTTCAGCGTTTTATTCTTTCTGTGTGAGCTATAGTTTATCCAACGCGCTCTGCTACGTGCAAATAAGGGTGACGCCAGGTTGTCAATGTTGGCGGTGATGTTTAAAGAACGCGATGACTCCAAGCTACCATAGTACATAATCAAACTTGTCGCCGTCGATTCGAACACGCACCATAGAATTTGTCGTTCACAACTGGTAATCCTGACCCTGACGTCAAAGGTGTGAACTATAAGGAGTATTCACTGGGCGCCATATTTGTGGGTGCTGTCTATAAGCGCATGCTCAGAACGAGCCCACATTAATAGACTGCTAAGACCGGCAACCTTGAGGGTGTGGAATGCACG